AAAAAAAGTGTCAGACAATGTGGCACTGTGGCACCGTTCCAAAATCCGGAATTTTTTGCTAGAACTCTCAATTTTCCCGTTCGACAGTACAGTAACTATTTTTTAGACGACTTATTTTTAAGAAAGATGGAAAGGTTGCTGGGGACATTCCTACGCCGTGAAATCAATTGCACTCTTCACCTGCGACCCACGTAAATTGTGAGGGTACTTATTGATGATCCCCTTATTCTCAAATTCACACGTGAAATGAATCCAAGTACAGTACTTTATTGTACTTGTACTGCGAATATTGGCTGAACTCACTCTTCATGCAAATATATACGTGTTAAAATTGGAATGCAAGTCACACTCGAAACATCCCAAGATAGGACACAGAGACAAGAAGGTACGGCCAATAGTCGAACTCACGCGTATATAGACAGAGTTCAAGTCAAGGGGGAATAATGTAAACAGAATCCTGTCTTCGAAAAAGCCACCGGTGATTTTCTCGAGTTATTCTGGTACCGCATTTCAAGGATTTCCGACCATTTCCAGGCAATCTGTAAAACATTCGAATTTCTACGGCACTTGACAGACCAATAACTTTGATTTCTGTTTCATGCCTGTAATTTGTGCAATAAACGCATTTTAGTCTTCAAAACGTTCGGCAGCTTTCATAAATTTCTCCCCACAAGTGGCTGCTCGAAATTAGATGCCGCCTAAATAATTACGCGTGGTCCACAAATGCGTAAATAAACACGGTAGACGCACAACACGGATATTTTAAATGAATTTTAAAGTTTGTACGGAACAAGTCACTGCCCTTCATTTATTTGTAGTATTCTTAAGTAATGCAGTGGCTTATTCATAAATTAAACGGACCTCTTCAGGTTCCAGCAGCAAAAGGGTGAACACTACATCTACAAAACGCGTGGGATGCAGGGCACTAAAAAAATATATATTATGCTGATGATACCAGATTTTCCATCCCTACCCTTTGGGAAATGAAGAACAAGGACGCTCACCTGTAAACATAAGCGTACTGCTCCTTGGCGGTAGTTCGTCCAACCCTGTCGGAGATGACATAATCGTAGTTGCTTGCCGAGAATTCGTTCAGCTTCGACATCAAGCGCGGAAACGCATCGCCGTCGACGTCGGTTATCTCTTGCACGGCAACAAGGTCATAGTCGGCCAATATCTAGCCAAGAAAGGGACGGGATCAACAACAGAGAGGCGTCGAGAGAAATGAGCGATCAAGTTGCGCCTACTCACCTCCACCAACGCGCTGACAACTCGCGGGCGACCCATTTTCGTGTCCCCGAGCTTCTCGATGTTGAACGAGGCAATTTTCAGCGACAGGGCTTGCTGTCGAGGAGCCGACAGGCAAACAAACGAATATATCACCGCGAGGGTATACACCACAGAACGCATGATTTTCTTGGAGACCTGCTAACGCAAACAGACTATTTAACGCTATTCACCGCGACAAGACCAAAGAACACGTGAGAGCGAGCCAGTACTTTCGAATGAATCATTTGTGGCCCTGTAGCACAAAGCGAATCGCGTCCGTAGAAAGATAAAGAAAAACGTACACAAACCGCAGTAAGCCGAAAAGAATCGATATGGGGAAAATTAATTAAACGACGTACAACATGGAACCCTCATGTTAACGGTTAAAAAAGATTCGGAAAAGATTAAAAATCTCTGATATAACCAGGTAACGCAGTACAGTACTTCTTCGAGGTCAACATCAACTTAACAACAGCTCATAATCGCGCAATCGCTTTTTTCTAGACGCGTATTTTTTTTCTGCGCCAAAGTTGGATCTCAAAAATCAGCATGCGTCTCGTGTTCAATGACGTCGTATATTCGATGGCGTCTTACATTTGCGGGTTGTTGATAGTTTTTGAAGAACCCAAGATTTCCAATAAAAATGAATTTCAAACTGCAATTCAACTAGGCGTCACTAAAATATTTAAGAGCATCATGACAAAAACACAGTTGCATATCTTGCAGCTGCAATGCCATAGTAGATGAAGGAAACATGTTAATCACGAGGGCTCTTCGCTAAGGGGCGTCAGTTCCTAATATTTCCGCATACAGTACGTTAAAACATTTGTTTTTCTAGCTTGCTAGAGGGACGGCAAATAAATTTGTGCACAAAGTGGAGTTCTTTATGACGCGAAAGTGGCTTCATATGAGCTACGACATATCAGCAAACTGTCCGTAATTCAAAGGGAAATGAATGAGTAGACGTCGTATATTTTCCAGCTACTATTACCATATACCCAATTCTGATGAAAAAAGGAGTGGATCTTAGAATCAATAACGTTGTATATTCCCTGACCCTGAATGACCCTGAAAATCATCGCAGAAGGTGTCGGAAAATTTGAGTGTACCCTAAAATACTCCACAGCGTACGTAAAAAAATATACGAAATGGGGAAAATAACCCAAATATAGCAGAGAACCCCAGAAACAGTTTTTACGTTTTAGCGATAAAAAGACGCCGACACTGTAACTTTCGATGGATTTGTTCGAATTGATAATTTTTTTCATAAGGATATCTTGATCAGATTTAGATACATTGCGAGCTAAGGTAACTAACCTAACATAACCATATTTGTGTCTGATGCTGAAACTTTTTTTTTTTTGCTTTAGCGCTGTTCCGTGCTCGAAATCGTCTCTCTATTTGCATCGCAAAAGCAGTAATTTGTAGTGCAGTACAGTATTTATGCCTTCGCTTCGTCACGCACTATTTCCAGCACATGCTGTTCTGACACGCGCTCAATTGTGTCGTTGCGGTTACATTTTGAGCAGAGGGACGAGGGTGAGGATTCGGCAATGATTAAAGAGAAAGGCGTTCGCAGGTTTAGAGCTCATATTGAGAAATTTTTCTTCAAGAAGATTAGGATGGAGTCTGATCTCGGAGGAGATCCCCGCAGCCCCCCATGCGTCCCGAACGCAATTTCGGTGTGATAAAGGGGGGGAGGGGGTGAAAAGCGGCTAGTTGATCACTTGCGCGCATTCAAGAATAATTGCTCGACAGGCGTGCGAATTCCGGACTCGTTCGCTGCTAGATGACGAAGAAACTGGCTGCGCCGTTTGGCACGGGCTGACGAGCAACGACACGGACTTGAACATCCTTCTTCATCGTTCTTCCTGCTTCATTACAATGGCGTTGTACCCGACGTTCCAGCAATTGACCGGGCATAAGGACCGAAGCTGCGGGGAGACGATGATCGAAGCCCATGTTCTCCATGCGACCGGGAGGCGAACGTGATCATCATTGGAAGTGGCATCAGGGCAAGGAAAACTCGCGCCCCAGAAAAAGTTCCCCGCGTCGGACATCTCGGTCGGGAGAATTTCAGCGTCCACGGACTTTCTGAATGCTCACGGACTCAGTCTCAGTGACTTGAGGGGAAACAGACTTCCGTGCAGCAGACCGAGCAAACTTTTCCCTTCGCAGCGTATGCAACTTCTCGCGTCAGCCAAGAACAACGCTTAAAACCCGGGATGACCAGATTGTTATGCATCCCGCGATGACACATCAACAAGGTCTTCACAGGCATTCTTCGCGGTCTCGAGCTTCTCGCAACGGCGCCCTGAAATAAATCATTCCCGACTGATGAAGGACGAGCAACTCACTACGTTTTACATTCAAGTTTAAGAGGATTTCTAAGTATTCTTTCGAAGAGAAGTTGAAGAAACATTTGTTCGAAACCTGCATTATTATTGCGGTTTTTCCGCCCTTCTTCTACATTTCCCCCGCCAATTTGTATCAATTTCCTCGGCATTATCAATCCAATTGGAACTTCTAAAAAATTCCGATTATGCCACGTTTCCTTCAAAATTTAAATTGCCACTTCTTCAATAAAAAAAAAAACCATTGACAATCCCCCCGAATCACCGAAGGCTGCGCACAGACCAAATAAACCGTGAAGCTCATGATCAACGCAGAAATGACGCCTGGAAAAAGGGGTTACGCGAGTCATGTACGTAGTTTTTTCTGCTTCCATCAGTCATAGCCTCAAAAAGGGACGTTTCAAAAGTTTGGCACTGTGGAAAGGCCCCATCCCATGCTTAGAAATAATCTGATAATTTGAAATACAGCTGTCCCAATCGGTATTGAAGTAATGTAAAAATATTAAATGGATGGGGTGCAGAAATCTGACATCCATTGAATCCAGCATCTTGAAATGCCACGGCAATTTGTTGTACAGTGCATCTCCAGATTTCATGAAACCATCGTAATAAACGGACTCGGTATTCTCAAGAACCCCAGAAGCAGACACGTTTCGGCAATTTTCTTGACGGGATGATTTTCCTTTTTTCGCGTATCATCCAGAGATGTCTTACTTTGATAGAAACCCCTAGCTTTTGTAAAGTCATACGATGCGAGATGTAGGTAACACATGGACCAATAACCTCACAGAATGCTTCCGCAGTATACCAAGCATTGATGGATGTCATATGGAACGCTCTGCGTCTGATGTGGTGCGAATACTGTAGGTCGTTTTCTTCACACAGTATTGTGCTCCTATTGAGACTCACCATCCCATCTAAAAATTGAATGCGATTCTAAGTAAACGTGACTCCTGGGTTCAGATTTTATCGATTCCATTCCGCATAATGAAACTTTCCATCACTATTTCCGAGCCTTGACATCCGCACAAAATACAAGGCGGAGAAAAAATGCATTAAACGACTACACTCGTGTCTCCTGAACAGTCACTAAAAGTAACTAAATGAAAATGTACATATACTGTAAAACAGCATTTTTACAATCCCATGGTTTATATTCATAAATGTAGTGGTAAGCGCACTCTTGTGATTTAAAATGCGGAGTGATCAATGAAGGGATACGCCAGATTCTCGGTTACAGTTCAATTCTGCGAACTTCAAAATTTGAAAATGATTATATGATTATCACTGGCGTGCATGGGTTCCCTATGTCACTTGAAAATAGAGCAAGTGGCCACCAACTTCAGCCGGAAACCGATGAAGGATTCATCGCAAACCTTTCCCAATATTGAAGGATTACTGAAAACTAGACCTCCACTAAGCGAAACTGAATCATTGACAAAGCAGTTGAATCTTGATACATCAAACTTCCCTTGTAAGTCGAATACCTCTCCAAGTCGACTTTTTTTTAGTTCCTATCTGAATTCACTTAGAAACAATCAATTGAAAACCTCCCTAACTAGAAGACTTTTCCTGTAAAACCTACATGAGTCGAATTTTCTTAGACCTTCTGGCAATTATTTTTTTGACACAGGAAGAAGAAAAAAAATAATTTGACGCATTTTGACAGGATGAGACAGACTTAATTGGACCAATGAACCCCTACCTCCAAGTTCAGCATCCTTTCAACTCATTTTAGAGGCAATTTAAGGCCCAGAATATTGCAATTTGGTGAAATTCTTCTATGTTTCCCACAATAAAAATGCTTGGTTCCACAACTCAAAAATCTATAACTCAAAACCTCCCTAAGTAGAATTTTTTGCTGGTCCCTTGAAATTCGACTCAGAGAGGTTCAACTGTATAAAAATTAAAATTTGAAGAAGCAGTCAATCTTTTTTTTTACGAAGCATTATTTAAATGAACGCGTTTTCAATAGGATTCAATTCAAGGCCACAATCACCCAGACAATTATTTTACGAGAACCAATGTTCAGCTTTTTTTTTTTTGCTTTTTGGAATAAAAAAAAACTTTTTGGAACGTAGGCGAGGATGAGACGTGATATTCCAAAAGTATTTTCACTTCCAGTCCACCCTGCACACTCTGTTGGCCACACCTTTTCAATCGACGATGTCTGCATTCACAGGATCTCAAGCTCGGAGTGAACTGCGTGAAAGAACGACTCCAGCTCTCCGAAAATGGAAAAAGCGCGAGAAAGAATTCCTTTCCGGCGGACTAAAAATATTTCGACCCAATTTTGTTATCTTCAGCCTGAAGATCCCGTATTCGGATTTCGGCGTGAAATAAAACTAGAGCACGACGGGCATTCTCGGAAACAGAACAGTGTCACTTGCACACCAACTTTCACGGATATTTTGTAGACTGTAGAGGGCCAAATTTCAATCGTCGCCGGTAATGGTCCCGCAATGCCCTGATGTTCCCAATATTCGTAAAATAAGGGATTCCCCGGTATGCGGTACACACACAAATCAGCAAATTACTCGAGAAGATTCAAGCTCACCTTCTTCGAAATATTGCACCGTGGTTTGTTTTCGGTCACTTCAACACCAATAAAGCAACAATTTAAGCATGTAAAGACAGGAAATAAGAGCATCGCTTTCACGCTTGCATTCGCATATACGTACTGCTGAGTTCAAGATCATCGGAGAATTTCACAAGCGTATATTTTGCACTTTAAGGAATTGCTCTGTCATAGTCTCGCAGCTCCGAAGAGGAAGACAAGATGAATAAAGAAAGCCATTTCAAGTCAAACCAGCAGTGTTGAGTTCGTGAAGAAGGATCACATTTCAAGGAATGTTGGAAACTGCATTCATTTCGTAATTAATTATTTATTTTTCAACGCCAGTATTTATCGGATGCATGGAAAATTTCTAGAAGGAAAAATATCATTTTTTGTAATATTCCTGGGTCATTCTAGAATCAAGTACTGTACCTTACTTCACTTTTTCAGCGGTGCAGAAATGCTGGCCTTGGATGTTTCTGTCTAGCTGACCCAGACAAGTGGATATCCCCTGACACCACGAGGTATAAAACCCACGAGCATAACGCCACAATTGTCCCAGAAAAGACTTTAAATCTCTCCGCAAAAAAATAAAATTCAAGCATTCACGAAGACGAGCAGCTGGCTGTCCTACGATGGGTCCTAAGGACTGAGGAGTGCTTCAAAGCAAAGCTTTCTGGGAAGAGCTTCCAGATAAATAATGATTTCAATATTCTGACAAGAAAATATGTCAATAATTGCAACCTTCACGCCTCAAAATGAATTACAGTGAGACCCCCACATGCGGACGCCTTGACCTGCGGACAATTCGACATAGGGACACTCATTTTCCCAGAAAAAATCAATAAATAAGGCCCGACATGAGGACACTGACTCGACATAAGGACATTTTGTGATAAAATTGCAAATAAATTTCAGGCCAAATTGCAAAAAACAGTTATTTCCAACCCTAAAATTGATGTAAGAAAAGTTCATGGGCATTTCTCTCACCAAATCCCCATCCATTTAGCTAATTAAAAAAAATTACCTCCAGCATAGAGGGACTTCTACTTTTTTTACTTGAATATTATTTTTGTAGATGCCAAAATTTCAGTGTACAGTACAGAGATACACTATTTAATGCTCCAAATGCTCTTATTGAGTTGAAAATGTATTCACTAACTCAAATTCAAGTGACAAACAATTTTTTTTCAGGGAATTCTGAAGAATATTTCTTCCACAAAATACCAATTAAAAATTATATAATGTAAGTCTATGGGAAAATAAGACTCGACTTAGGGACATTTCGACTTGAGGACACTCTTGATGCACCCATTACGTCCGCATTTCGGGATCTCACTTTTAATCTGTTTTCCCCTTTCTAGAAATCGGTGATTCATAAGAGGGATGTAGGGGTAGATAGTTGAAGCAATGGAATCTTCGTTGGTGTAAATCCACGCGGGCTTTTAAAAACGTTAATTATCAGCGAGGATCATCCACTGATGATAGCATACGCGGGGCATACATTTCTTTACGCTCACATCACGTGATTACCTCCGCAGACCTTCATTCCATTGGGCCGACTTCAATGCAAGGTTAATCAGTTGAGTAATGGCTCACGAGCTGTGGCACGTAGGAGTAAGCAACGTCGTTGCGGTCCACAGGGTAGCAGAAAGGCCAAGAGCGCCGATGTTTCTACTCGAGTCAAATCAATCTTCCCTAATGCGGCCCTCATGCATATGTGTATACTCATACACACGTCATTATCGACGTCGAATAGCAGTGGATCACCTCGCGCCACGTGCCACATTCGCGAGCTGCGGAATCTCCGCCAGCAACACTGTCACCAACGAAACGCGTTGAATTCTTTTAATAATGCGACGCGGTGTGACGGGAAGATCGTGTGAAACTCTGTCGCATGTTCATATGCTACAGATACTGCATAAACTTCATAAGCATACTTATTCACGAAACCCAGCTCGCGGAGTTCAAATAATCACAAGCTTGCATTTAGAAATTTAAGAGCGAATCGAGGAGCATCGCCAATGAATCGCAGGCAATCACGATGATAGTCAGTGTCG